TAAACAGTCTTCCAGCCAACCCAGGTGGCCTTGCGTAGGATAGGAAGAACAGTCTAAACACAGTCGTTATCAGGGTGTTGTTGTCCAGCTCCGGCCTTGCAGCTGGTGCCGAAGGGGTCTCCGCATAAGTGATGGTGGTTTTTACTTTAGTGAGAACAACTCATATGAATTTCAAAGCTGTTCTAACAGTCCAACACTGATCTCTCAATCTCCCGTTGGAGAGCAGTGAGCTTCTCCATGATGTTATCAAACTTGCGCTCCGTGATGTTGTCATTCTTTTTGCTCAAAGAGCCGATTCTGAGAACTCACGACTGCAGTGAGCTTCTCCAAGATGTGATCGAATTTGCACTCAAAGGTGTTATTCGAGCTAGCCCCTCCAGATGTAATCCAGTTTTTCACTCAGGTCTTGTTCTGAGTATTCACAGCAGCCGTAGCCTCTCCAAGATCTTATCCATGCTGCACTCAATGAGCCCATTTTGAGAAACTCACGCCTCGTCCCATCGTTTCAATCCCAGCGGGCAGCCTTGGGGGGGTTTGAACAGCCGGTTCCGCTTCCTTAATTCTTCGATAAAGATGCAAACTTACATGGTCCTACGTGAAAAGTGATTGCTCCTTAAACCTACTAACTGCTTGAGCCGCCGTCAGCAGCAACAACTGCAATCAAGCGTCTGTGAGAACTCCAATGAGTCTTTAAAGCGCTGTGGAGGACTTTGAGCCTACTTTGGAGAATTGTTGTAATTTAGCCACAATGGAGGGTTTTTAAGCATGAACCGCCTGTTTGCAGGTTGTGCCACAGCACCTTTGACCTGCCCACTCCAAAGTCTTCATTTCAATTTGTTTAAGCTGTTCTTGGATTTTTGTTCCCATTAATAATAAACACCTTAATTCAGAAACTGCATTTTGCGTTCACTTGTATTATCTTTGTCCAATATTTACATTTGTTCGATGATCCGAAACATTTAAGTGTGACAAACATACAGAAAAGTAGGAGATCAGGGAGGCGGCAAACACGTGTGAGCTCATTCTCTACAGTGTTAAATCAACGTGACTCCACACCAGGGATATTTATACCTACATATTTGATGTCACCTGACTGTAGTGGAAACTTATCTTTAAGTGTGATC